CAAACACAGCATATCAAGAAAAAAAACAGATCATACAAACAATGAAGAAGGGTGGTGGAGAAGTTATGATTTGGACTTGTTTTGGAGCCACAGGACCTGGACACCTTGCAGTCATTGGTAAACAAATCGAAGTATTCAAGAGTCAAATGTAAGGCCATCTGTCTGACAACTAAAGCTTGGAAGACACTGGAAAATGCAACAGAATGACTGAAAAAAAAAAAAGAATCAAAGTGTTGCAAAGTCCAGACCTCAACATGGAAAATATCCTGCAAATCTATGAGAGACTAATAAAGTCACACAGAAAATAATTACTGAAGTTATCACATCTAAAGATAGTTCTACAAGTTACTGAATCACTGGGCTTGTTAGTTTTTCACAGGCCTGTGCAAACTTTATTTTTAAGATGCCAGTATACGTATACACACAAACAAACAAAAAAAATCAACCACTGACTGCATTATATATGATGTATATTTACCTTATGCAGCATGATGGCTACAAAGACAATGAGCTGAACGCTGGTCTGAGAGGTTGAGGCAGCAGCACCCAATGCAACACCATCAGCTGCAGGCAAAAAAAACAGAAAGGTACAGTAACTACTGGAACACTTAAAAGCAATGAGTCGTCATTAAAACAGCAATAAAATCTGAAACTAATACTGTTTGAACTGAAAAGTAACATTTGTGTATACATTTTGCAAATTAAAACAATTTAAAGCTTAATTAAATTCATAGTATTCTGAAGTAACACAAACTCAGGTACAGAATAAAATTACATCTTTTTCATGAGTTCCACCAAATGTAAATACATATTTAATATTTATGATTAAATATTAATATCATTAATTAATATAATTTAATATTAAATATAATTTAATATTTATTTTGTGTACAGTAGCATTATCAGAAGATATTAAATCAGACCTACCTGCAGCATGGACCACAAGCCCCAGGGTGGTGGTGATTTTGGAGGAAGCAACTCTTGCTGCCTCTGGATCTAAACCAAACAAAAATAAATAAATAAATAAATAAATACACAACTCAAACAGTTTGTGGCAAGGAAACAAATCAATAATCTTGATGGACCACTATGTCCACACTGAGAGTTAAACAGCACCACAACATTGGCAGACTTTGAAGAGTATTATCAGCTTAAATAAAGATCTCTAAAATTGTTCAGTGCAGAGTGTGGGTGCATCTGGGAAAACAGAATTAGCAGTTGAGCCATTTGGATGTGTTTTGGGTTTAATTCAATCTTATTTTTCAAGGAGAATAAGACGCGAAGAGACTAATGACGAAGCTGCTTTTGCTGCTTTTCCCAAACCAACTCTGGCTAAGGCTATTTGAATGCTTACCTTCAGTGTTGTGAACATGAGAACTACCTATCTGGTCCACCAGTAGCATAAAGACAAAGCCTAGAACCAGAGACACTCCAATGTAGGCATGGAGCTGCTCTTGATTGTGCTCATGCTTCCCACCAGCACTAAGAGCTGCCTCTGCTTCACCCTTTCCCTCGGAAGCTTCTGCAACTGCAGACTGGCCGTGACTGTGGTGTCCACCTGCTGAAAGAGAAAAATCAGCAGAAAAATGGTCTGATAAAGACGCAAATACGTTAATGCATCAGAACCAAAGAAATGTAAAATTAAAATTCCATCACACAGCACAGAGACCATCATAAATACTGCTATAAATACTCATATGGAAATGACAATAAGTCAGAAACTGATTTCATGATGTTGCACTTTACTTTCCTCTGTTTAAATAAAATTCATACAGACTGTTACAATGTACACAAGCACATATCATTGGTCTACATGCTCTCTACTTAATTTTCCTCTGGTATATTTCAGTTTAAGCCTGTTGCAAGCATGAAGGAATCTAGCGCTGTCACAAACATCTAAAGACTATTTTAGATTTTGCATTATAAAGTGCATAAAATAAGAAGCTGACAGGAAATGAGGAAAGAACAGACACTCAAGAAAGATGCACCCCTGAAAGTTACAATTACTCAGTACTTTCAGTAGAATGACTAATCAATTATGTAACATATAATTATCTGTAAAAAGGTTCAATCAACTGTTTAATCTACATTGCTGTTAAATGTACATAAAAGAAATTAACAAGTTGATTCAACATGATGGAAAAGCCGGAATATCTTTGGGTTTTGTATTGACAGTCAAACAAAACAAACAGTACGAGTATGTCACCTTGTACAGTTTATTCAAGTAACAGATAAAATAAATAAATACATTTCATCAGCAACACAAAACAATTATTAGCTCAAGGTCTTCTAACAAGATTTTTTTTTTCTTAACTTACAGGAAGCAGCCAAAATTGTGTGTGGTGGGGGCAAAACAATTTGCTTCTCATTTGAAATTGTGATCCCTTTTGGAAGTATTTAAACAACTTGTTTTGTCTGACTACCAACCCAAGAAAGATTACATTTACATTACGCATCAAAGAGAAAAGCAGCAAAACAACACAAAGGGAAAACTTGGTGTCCTTTCTTGATAATTAACCGGCTAACTAATTTAATCTATCTACTATTGGATTAGGAGAGACGTTTATCACTTATTTATGTTTATTTGACCATTTCACCATGGCAGCCTCTGAAACACACTGTACATTAGAAATAAACCAATATGACGGTGGATGCCCTGAGCTTTGCAACTCATCCATGTATTTCTTAGCTTAAGGAACACGTATTTCTAAGAGCTGTAGCACATCCTGGCTGATTGTGAAAGGCATTATTACTAGTTTTCTGAGCCATAGACTAAAATAACCGAATGAGCTTATCTTCAAACGTGCAAAATCCAAAGATATTGCAGTCCGTAAAAAATCATGACTATTACGTTGTCTTACAATTATTGATACAGTAGTTAATTCTTAATTGTCTGTCCATTCATGATCTGAGCAAACCTTCCATCTCCCCCAAGGAACCCTACCTTCAAGGATTTCTTCGTAAAGTGCGTGGACCCCTTCTGGGATGATCACGGCAAGTGCAGTCCCACAGAGCAGCCCTGCTCCCAGCACAGTGATCAGCTTCAACTTCTCCTAAACAGAGTCAGAGACCCAGACCTTAAGCACAGTAGCTTCTTATTGTTTGAAAGTTCAGTCCATTTTATGATAGCTTGGTAGCTAAAGTTAGCTACATGCATACGTATGTCACAAACCTACCTCTGAGAAGTTAACCGCTAAAGGTATCGTCCCGGCCACATAACATCCCACCAGCATCGCAAGGGACAGCAGGCTGATGGAGCTAAAATCGTCCATGACTGCACTTTTCTTTTCGGCTAACCTACTGCTAAGCTATACCATCAAACCCAACCTCCACCTGCGCTTTTAGCACGGACCTTTGCTCGTGACGGTAAAGTTCAAGAACATTAGTTTTTTGGTGGTTAATTCAATACACGTCACGACCCACTTTCGGTACCAACCCGGTCTGGTGCTAAACATCCACTTTATAACTGGTCAGTGTGTCGCTCACTGGCCTCGGTAACGCAGTCAAAGCTAAGCTAACTAGCGTCAGTATGTATATGCCTTTCGATATTAATGAAAAAGAAACCCGGAAACGGTAACCGTCCAGTGCAAACAACTGATACTTCGCATATTTTCTGTCAAGTCCAGTTGTCAGAATAATATTGCAACTTCCCGATTCGGTTAGCGTCAACACACCGGCTAACTGAACATCTTCTTGTTTGGAGATGATCAAAGTGCTTCCGGGTCAGAGTTTAGGCGACCTGCCACGTATCCGCGAGACTCGCTGGAAAAGATAAGGAAGTAATGTGACAATTTTAGCAACAAGTCATAAACATGGGGAAAAAAACAAGAATAAACACCAACAGTAGATTCTGTAAGAGAATTTGCAGTTTTTATTTTTGTGCGATTTTTAAAGTTTAATTTATTTGTTTGGCTATTTGTTTATTTAGTTATTTGTTGCAAATAATAATAATACACTTAAACGTAAAATATGACTATAAATACATAATACACTGGAGGAAAATTGTTAATACTTTTTTCGATTTTCAATGTAAAATTTCCAGATTGTTTTATTTAATTTGCTTAATGTACATAATATTCACTTAATGTATATAATGTTCTCTTTTTGCAGTCGAGGAGCGTGTCAAGACACATTTCCACAGGGTGTTGTACTCCTATAACTATGCATGTGACAAATAAAGGTTCTTGAATCTTTTTCCGTCTACTCGCTCTAATGGTCTGACTTCATATTACCCTCTGCCTAACATCCTCCTCTCACATAACCCGTCTGCATGTCTTTCTTCACTGCATCCTCGACTCCTCTGTGGTCTTGCTCTTCTCCTGCTAGGCTACTCCATATTCATCATCGTTTTTCCAGTATACCTACTATCCCTTCTTTGTACATGTCCAACTAACTGACAGTCCCTTACTTCTATCATTGCTCTTTTCCCCAAAACTCGCTTCCACCTGCTTCCTACTACAGAGTAGGGAGAACAGGGAACATAATCTGCAAACATCATAGTCCACAGACACTGCTGCTTGACCTTGTTTTTCCACCTGCCTATCACCATCGCAAAAAGGACAGGGCTCAGTGCTGAACCCTGATGTGGCACCCCACTCTCACCCTCTCTCATACATGTCCTACACCACCATTAGGTACTTCGTCGCCACTCCAGTCTTCCACATGCAATATCACAGTTCCTCTCCGGGCATCCTATCATATGCTTTGTCTAGATAATAAGATGATAATAAAAGCTAACCTATTTGCATCGAAATAAAGTAAAAAAGGTGGTGACCAGAAAATATAAGTATGGCTTCATGCCAACAAAGAGCACTATAGATGTTTCCTTTGAGAGGTGATTGAGAAGAATAGGGGTCAGAAGGCGTAAACCAGGTACATACATTTACTGCAGTAATCACATCTGTATATGGAAGTGACCCCAATTAAGTTTTGGTGTTTGAAAATAATCTCATAATTCAAAAACAGCTAATAATAATTAACAACACAATCAACAAAAACAGTATGTTTTTGTTTTTTTTAAAAAAGCATGTTTATTAGTTCACACAATGGAGTAGTGCCTCCAAACAACACCACCAAATTAAAGCAGAATGTGTCCAACACATTGTAGAACAGATGGATGAAATTCCTCCTGAACGGCACTAACAAATAAAAGAATTACAACCAAAGTTTTTTTTTTCATGCAGCACATTAGTTTCCAAACCCTTTCAGTTCACAATTTTGACTTTCTCACGCACACTCTCACTCACTCACACACTCACACACTCACACACACACACACACACACCAGCTCTTTGCCGATGGAATGGAGCGCCGTGTGGGCATGTTCACAGTCTGCTGGACCAGAAAACTGCAGACAGTAGAACTGAAAGCTCAGGAAGTCAGTCAGAGTCGTGTTTACTTATTTGACCAGTCCAATCTTCTTTGCTTCTGTTTCATATATCAGTAACCTCCACATTTTTACTATGAAGACTTCTGCTTCTTCATCAAGAACCTAAAGACAAACAGTTCAGTTAAACATACTATATATTACAAAGCTGAATGTACCGGTATTCAATGAGTCAGCAGATGTATACAATGTGACTGTTACCAACCATTTTAAGACAGACCAGTCTGGTTTTAAACTGACAGTTTTCCATTTTTGTTGGTTAGTCATCCACTTAATCGACAATGTGTGGTACAGACCATTCAAGTGGGTTTCAGTCCCAAAAGATGGATTACATATGTAAGATGTTTAAAGACTTAGGATCCAGGCAAAGTTCAACTTACCATAGCAACATCATCAAGAATACCCTGAGGAGTGCTATGCGCCATTACCTGATCAGAAAAGAAAAATATTAACTAGAGTGAGCAACAAGCCCAACAATTCAACACCACAAGCTTAAAGATACAGATAAACTTCAAAGGATAATAACTGACCTTGGAGCAGACAAAATCAACCAATGTAGCTTCCTCCTCTCCAATGTACTCTATAATCTTCTTATTAATCCACGGTCTAATGCGGCGATCCATCAGAGTCTATGGAAAGAAAATCAAAACAAAACATAACATAACCAATAACTAAAATATCAAGCTATGAAAATAAGTGCAATTTCAAAATATGCCAAGCCTTTTACCGAATCAACCATTGCCCAGTCCAAAGGATAGGAGAAGAGCTCTGGCCTGGCAGTGGGGATCTTCTCTATAAGGCTTTTTATGTGTTTCCGTTTCTCCTCTGTGTTAATGCTGCCTTTGGCCCCTGAAATTTCTGCTCCATCGAGCCCCAGACTCTTTTCATCATCACCATAGTCCAGTGGAACCAGTTTCCTTTTGCGAGGCTGCTCATCTGCCTCCTCTTCGTCAAACTTGTTGAAAACACTGTCCACAGTTGCTAATTTCTTTCGCTTTCCTGCGCTGAGCTGACTCGGACTGTTGGTAGCACCTGTAGGAGGAAAAAAAATCATCAGGAAATACTATTTACTCTGGGAAAAAGCAGTGCCATTAAACAACAGATCTGTATGCGTGTTTTGCTTCGTTGCTGTACTCACCCAGCTTGAGGCTGAGGCCAATCTTGGGCCGGTGTTCCTCTGGAGGTTGGACCTCTGGAGTGTTCTCGCCTGGAATTATGATGCCACAAAGAGACTCATTTCCAGGGGTGTTTGGAGTAACGTTTCCACTGGCAGAAGACACAGAGGGAGCAGTGGTGATTGGTCGCATGGCGGGTTTGAGTTGCGGCTTGGCTTCTTGTGAGTCCTCGCCATCGCGGTAATCATCTTCATCTGCCTCTTCCACATCGTCATCTGAATGCTGCGGGGGAACTTGAGGCTCCGGCTCCACAGGCCTTCCGGACCCCCTCTTCTCCCGCTCCTTGTGAGTTTTCTCCTGGTTCACATCCTCCTCCGGTTCAAGTTTCAGAGGTGGCTGTCGTCTGCGCTCTGCTTCCTCTTCCATCTACACAAATATGTAACACATTAAGCAACCTCAGGATATTGTTGTTGACTGGTGGACTGGCATATTAATATTAAATGCACAAACATCATTGCAGAACAAGCAAAAAAGCTGTAGTTCTGCAAAACAAACTAAAGATCTCTGAGTCTATCAAATGTCTTTGTCAGAGGTTAGGGAAAGTTCCAGGTGGATTTACTCTCTGTAATTCAGCATCAGGATCAGGGTGACCCTCAGCGAGAAGTCTTTGTCTAATTTCCTCCAGCTCCTCCTTCTCCCTCTTCCGGTCACGTTCATCCAACTCGATTTCCTTTTCTCTGTCACGAAGACGCTTCTGCAATGCGCTGCCCCTAAAAAAATAAAAAATAAAAAGATTAGCATTAACGTTAAGTAATGACAAAAGGCATTAAAAGCATTAAAACATTTTAAAATGCAAATTAACATAATCACCTGTAGTATTTTGGGTCGTCCCTGTCATCATCATAGTCTTCAAGGAACTCTTTGAGCCTTTTGGCTTCTTTCATCTGATTTTATGCACAAAATGAAACAGTAAACAGTAAATCAAGCCTTCTGTTTCCACATATCTGAAATAATAAATAGTCTAAAACTCGTTTTATGCAGCGTGGCATGCATTCTTATATACCATTTCACGACGCCTCTCTTCTTCTCGCTCAGCATCTTTGCTATAGTCACGGGCCTTCTTCCTCTCTCTGACCTCCCAATTTTTCAGCCGCTTTAAGAAGGCACAGAAAAGAAATTCCAATCAGTAATCTGTCAAACATTAACAGTAATTTGCTTATGTGCAGTTATTTAAATGAACATTTCATCAAATCAAAATGGGAGAGATGATAAACATACTTCTTGATAAGCTGCTTCCTTATCTCTAAGCCTCCTCTCAAGTCTCCGCCGCTCATACATGTCCTCCTCATCTTCTTCGCGGTCTCGTTTTTTATCGTCTCTGGACCTCTCTCTGTTAAAATAATAATGGGTTACTGATCTGTGAAGTTCATCTTTATATCAAATTAAGTTGAAACGCAATCATTTCAAGGGTATTTGCCCATAGCCAGTGCCAACTGCTGAATACATTTCACTACAGTGCTTTCATTAGTTATTTTGTGATATGGATATTTTCTACAAATGATCAACTGAACACAACACTCCCCAAAAATAAAAAGTTCCTTAACTGCCTCCAACAAATCCTCATTGGTTTCATTTACAGCTACCAAATGAGTCTTTCATTGTAGTGTTAAAAAAACAAAAACAAAAACAAAAAAACTTACAAAGCCCTAAAGTGGGGAACAAGAATTCATATCTAGCATATCTTTAAATCACAGATAATAAATTATGTTGCCACATGCATTGATAAGTCATAACACATGTGGAGAAACTTATGAGTGGACCTTGAGGTCTGTTGTAAGAAACAGCTGGAGCCAACGACCTTTTCCAAACTGTTAGAATTAAGAGGCCCTTTAGATGAGTCACAACCGTTTGTGTGTGAGCCAGAACAAACCATCTTGCATTAGAACTGACCTCGATCTGCTGCGAGCTTCACTGACATCTCGACTCCTCTCCCTCTCCCGCTCCTTCGTCCTCTCGCGTTCACGATCCCTCTCTCGCTCACGGTCGCGGTCCCGGTCTCTTTCCCGCTCCTTGTCCCTCTCTCTCTCCCTTTCCTTCTCTTTCTCGCGATCGCGGCGCTCCCTCTCCCGCTCCCGCTCTTTGTCTCTCTCCCTCCTTTCTCTCTCCAGCTCCAGGCGTTCCTTTTCTTTTTTGCCTTTTTCCTCCTCCAATTTCTGCAGGAGCCCACATGGGAAGAGAAAAGGAAACCGCATTAGAAGATGCAAAAGGTGAAAAAAAGATCATCATACTAAATTACATAAATAAACAAGTTATCGGCAAAAAAAGGTTTACACTGCCTGTTTCAGAAATGCTCACGTTCTACCATGACTCATTGTTTGGGGAGAGGTTGGCTGCTCCAAGTCAGGAAGTGGTTTCCTCCAGGAAGAGTGGTCCGCAGCCTGAGCAGGTTTAATGTATATACTGCTCATTTCAGGACACACTTATATAAAACCATAAATGACAGTATATTCTTGAAATACCTAACAAACTGGGGATGTCACAGCTCATATGAGGGGTTTCACCAAAGAAACATTTCCAGTGTTATTGTAAACACTTACAGTCTTCTTTTCCTGTGCAAAGAGATCATTTCTTGTTCTGGCTCCAGTATTTGACCTCCCTTCTTTATCAGATTTGTACAGAATAAATAACAGGCCAACTCAACCTCTGCTGTTACGATGGGCTCTATGGTGATCTGGGATTATTATCTGATATCAAAAGGCAAATAAGTACTGGTCAAACCAACATCTGAATGTTTTCCAATTCAAAGTGTACTCGTGACTGCGGATAAGGGACAGATTTGGCCTGAAATGCATATGCATAGGATTTTACTGGAAATGGGGTTTTTCATATGGCTTGTGGTAAGTAAAAAAAAACAAAAACAACAAACTGAAGCCAGCTTTGAACCTTTTTTAACTTAAGGTCATGAAGATCTAACTATAAACTTGAGATCTCCACTATATAATGCACTGGTTGTACCTATAGGTGCCAAGTGGATTAAAACAAGCCTAAGCTTAACACGGCAAATGGCGTAACTGAGTAAATTACATAATCGGCCCCCACGTGTTTTCTACATGGTCATTTGAGAAGGAGGAAAGCAATGCCTGACTGCAGTGCAAGTGATCCCCTAGAGCAGTGTGGGACTTCAGTATGAAGCCAAACTACTAAATAATAATTTGAACACCATTTTATTTATCTGTAAAGGCAATCACAGCTCACTGGTTCTCACAGCCGTCCATTGACAATCTCAGTAAACAAAGTTTGACCCATTTTTCTACATTCTCACTAGATAACATTTAAATCATGTTCCACAGTCTGTTCTGGAGCTACTGGTGCAAAACTTACAG